TTTTTTAACAAAATTTTATATTTATATAAAAAATTTAATTACAAACAAGTTTGTTTATAAACGCCACCAAACAGCCACAATCTTTCTATATTAATATAAATATAAGTAGTAAGGAATGAATATTCCATGCTTTTAAAACTTTCTTCTAGTGAGTGAAGATAGAAAGAATGCCTAAGATGTAAAGAGATAGAATTAGAATGCACTTACACATAAATTTTACATATTATATTCATATAAATTTTTAACTATTTATTTTTTACTATTAATGGTTGAGATTTATTTACTTTTTATCATATTTATTAAAGATAATTATTCTTTTTATTTCAAAAGTCATGATATAAATGAATTATCAAGATTTTATGTAAATATAGTATGTGAAACTTGTATGTAAGTGGGTTCTACTCAAGGAGATATATATTTTTTAGATTATTAAGGTATCTTTAATGAGTTTTTGTGTATCTCAAAATCAATTCCTCCTTTGGTGATCTTGTAGGTGACCCTCATATTAATTTAGTGCATTTAAGGGAATTAATTTCTTTAGATGTTAATTTTAAAATTTAAACTTGAAACTTGAGTTATAAAATGACACTTATTTATCAGCAAATTCAATTTTTGAGGGGTTATAAGGAGATAAGTTATTAAGTATTCTCAAGTCCCTTTAACTTACTATAAAAAATGGTAGAATTATAATAATAATATAGTTACAATGTCACGTTACAATTATAATATGTTATTAAATGAATTGATATATACAATATTATAATTGAGTTCTTAAATAAAAAGAATCAATCAAATAATGACAAGTCAAGATTGTAATATTACATTGCTATGAGGCATTATAAATATATCATTGTTTGATAAATTATGAACTATTATGAACTAGATATCCTTTATTAATTATGATATCTATTTAATTTAGCCTGATATTATTTTGAACAAAGGAATATTCATTCCAGTCAACCAAGAGAGCCCTCAGACTGGGCTTAAATGGGAACCTGATATGCAATAAACTGTGCCTCGTATACCAATCGTTGTAGATTGTGCGTAGCTCTTCTTAGTTCCTTTTTTCTGGATTTGGTTTTTGGAGGGTCGGTTTGAGCTATATGGTCTATCTATCATCACTAGCCGAATACACCTATCACTTAGCACATGGTTCCAAGGCCCATGGGCTTTGTTTTTGGCACCTTAATTTTCTCTTCTTTTTTTCTTTGGTGAAAGAGAGATGGATGGATTGGTATTTTGTTTAGTAAGAGAGAAAGGGAAGAAAAGAAAGAGAAGAAGAAGTGATCTTACTTTATTCAATTAAATTATATCATTAGGTCAATGAAAGAATTGGTTGGTTATAATAATTTTTATTTTTCTCCCCTTCCTTTAAACTAAACAAACAAACTATAAAGTTTTGTTTGTCAATATCACGTTGCATTGCAGTTACAAACTTTTATCTTTTGTTACCTTAAAAATATATAAAATATTAATTAAAATTAATAAAAATATATGAAAAGTTAGTTTATGATAATTAAAATATTAAATATATATTTTTTTTGAACATGAGGGAAATTTTGGAGGAGGAGGGTTTTTTTTTCCAAGTAGTAAGTGAGAGTAGAACTCACAATCTACACAAACCAAACTCT